TATTCTCTTAGTTGGTCATTGCTCTGAAAAAGAGCAAAGCAGTCATGCTGTAATGCTGACATGGTTATGACAGGTTGCTAAGAATATGATTTGGACACCATGTTTATTTTTGTTTTTGTTTTTGTTTTGTTATGTGGTCTATGCTCTAAGATGGAGATTAGATGAATGTGATAGGTTTTGTGTCTCAAAATGTTGTAAGATATGCATGCCTGTCCCATAGGAAGGTCCTAACTCTAAAATCTTCAATTAAGTTATTCTGAATTATGTGTTACAAACTACAAATGAAAAAAATCAAGAAAACTAGATCTTTTGATTCAACATTTTTATTTTACCTTTGTCAACAAAGAGTAGTCTTGTTCACATTAACTGGGTTCCATGAGTTTCTTGTGAGTTTGATGAATTTGATTTATGACTTAAATTTTGAATCCATCCTTATATAATACTGAGTGATATAGTTTTCCTGTATTCTCTTAGGCTTCAAGTATTCCTGTTGTTTTGGTTGAGAACAGCGGGAGATGTAACAAGAATGAAGGTGATGAAAAGGTTAGTCATTTTCCTTATGTCATGTTTTAGTCGTTCCCCTGAAGTTCAGTTATTTATTATTCTATCTTTTTGTTGGTTGTCCTTTGGTAACAGGTTCTTCCAAATGGAACTGCTTGGATACCTCATTTAGTCCAAACAATCACAGAAGTCATCTTGAGTGGCAGCAAGTCCATCTATGTTGACAAAAAGTTGATTGACGGGCCAAACCCTAATGAGAAAGGAAAGTTTTTAATTCCTCTGATCTTAATAATCCAGGTGAGCTTGTACATACTTTATACCTGGAGTTCTTTTTTCTCTCTATTGATGCAAGGACTAATTAACTATTTTCATCTCTCTTTTCCTGTTAATAGTATTTCTTTGCCATTAAACCAATTGAACGAGCAATCAAGAACGATATTGCCAAAGAGAGTAGACCATCTTGGGAGATGCGGGATTCCGGTGTTGCTGGTCGCAAGTTTTGATTTGGTCTTGGGCCATCTATTCTCTTTAAGGTTTTACTGGTGTTTTCATGTTCCGATGCTGATCATCTATCTTTTCTTTTCTTTTCTTTTTTTCTTTTTTCTTTTTGCCTTTTTCCGGGTAGCAGTTAAAGTAGTCAGTTGTGAGATTCTGCAGTATGAGTATTTTGCGGCTTATGGATGTTGTCTTGAGGAATCAGATCTTGTACTGTAATTAGCACATCCTTTATGTTATTTATGTTGCCATATATTAAGTGTTGCATGTATGAAATACCTTCGTTTGTTGACTGATCATACTTCAAGCATGTAAAGGAGCCCTTCTGTACATTTGGAGACTCACTACGGACCCTGAGCCTCTGCATTTACCCGTATTTGAGTGTAGGGACTTTTTTTTTCCAACAACTGTAAATGGGCTTGGGCTGCCGTAAAGAGCGAACAGATGAAGTTGCCTTTGTGCCTGATTTCAAGAATCAGGCCCCAAGAGTGCTTAGAAAGGTTTGCGGAGCCTTAGGAAGCACTTCGGTTCCTTTCGGTTCCTTTCACCAACAAGGCAGTCAACTGTGACAAATTAGTATTATAGCTTGGCCTGAGAAGCTTGTGGCATTGGAGCTAAGCCTTCATGAGTTTAGCAATAGAGAGAGATTGAATTTCTTATGGGAAACAGAGGTTCAGAGTAAGAGGAGATATGAGGATAAAAGGATGGGTGACTTAAGTAGATCTTCCAGTAGCCTAACGAATGCTTGGTCGCACTTTTTGGATGGTTGTTTTGCTGGGTAGGAGGTGCCTTCTTTTATAGGCACTAGAACCCCCAATTTTATCAAGTCTTCTATTATATTTTTCTTCACTTTCTTCCATTCAATCATCTTTAGTGAAATCTCCCCAACCGAAGCACATAGAAGCAAAAAATAAAGTTCTCGACACTGTCTAGCAGCCTTAAGAAATTGACCTTTCCTGTGTATTCTCTTAGACCCCTTGCAAATCAAAGGAAGCATGTCCGATATATGGGAGCCCTTGCTAGAGTCAACAATTAGCCTAACTCGTGAATAAGGGAGTGGGAACACATCTAACCCTTTGAGGTGCTCCCATAAAAATAGCTGCAGAAAATTGGAGTTCAAAAGAATTTTCACGGCCATAGTTCTCTCTGCCCCTTTTTCAAGAAGTTGAACTTGGTCGAGTATCCGGTATTGGTGCCCTAGGAACATGGAAGCTAGAGGGATCGTGTTGCCTCGCGCTATTGCCAAAGCTCAAGGTAACACTCGCTTGTGTATGCAGTCTTGAGAAAAATCACAAAAAATAAACCTTCCGAGTCATAAAGATATAAGTGCGGCGGGTTGGCAAAGCTCCTCTCAGTTTACATTCCTGACATATTGTATCCAGTTGCTAAACCTGAAAGAGGTGCTGGGAGAGGTCAGGTCTCCCTTCCGCAAAATCTCGAGCTACTCCATGTCCTCTGGAGTTAGAGCAATATTGAAAGGGTCTTGACTTCCACAAATAGGGAGGTGGAAAATGTTGGCCACATCCTCAAGCATAGGGGTAAATTCCCTGTATGAACATACAAAGTTATGCGTCTTGGTACTCCACCTCATAACCACATGACGAAGCATCTTTGCTTCGATTTGAATATCACACGTCTTAGAAAGAAAAATGGCATCCAACACCTCTGTCCTGCATAAGATGTAGATAGGTCCATTAGTTCGCGATCAACCCAGTCTAACTAACCCTTGCTGATTTCACAAGGGTATTGAAAAAAAATAAAGGAACAGCCAGAGACAAGCCCCTCTCTATGCAACATCTGGATATAGACGCGGGATCGCCAGTGTAACTTCTGGCACTAGCTCTTCACCTATGACAGGGTTCTCACAAGAATTCTTAAGCTATGGGGAGAAGGCTAATGTTGAGGCTCCTGCGGTGACGGCACAAGGTCGTCATTTGAGAAAAGATGCCTTGTTGCATGTCTCCCTTTGCTCACACTAGATGACGATCACTAGGAGGTGTCTATGCGCTACACGTCGCATCGAGTTAGACAATAGTTTGGGCTCGATCAAGGTGTGCCCTTTGGTCTTAGCCATAACGATTCCTTTGCATTACACAGGGCCTTTTAGAGTGGGGGTAACATGTCGGATGATGGCAGGCCTCTTACCCTTGTATTAGCTGGCAGAGAGAGAGAGTTGACGACTTCTTGAAGGCTTATCAGACTCGATGTTTTGCTTTGTTCAGTCAATTCCACGCCACTTACTGCGATAGACTTCCTTCCTCAACGGCTAGTCATGCCCACCTAGTGTCGGAAGAGAAAGCTGTTTGGTTAAGTGAGAAGCGAAACTTGCCTTTTACGGCGAAAAGTGGTGTAATTGTTGGGGAATTCTCCAAGCTGAGACAGAAGCTGGAGAAACAGAGCCCTCACAACGCTGGAAGAAGCATTGTGCAGGAGAATCGAAAACGGGAGGAGGATTCTTCATAACGTATTTTCTCATTTTGTATCTAGGTTTCACCACTGGTGTTTCGTGTCTCAATCGCTAGATCGAGGACACCTCATAAAACGAATGGTCAAAGCCATTTTTTCATCAACGGGCTCTCCACAACCTGATACTCAACCAAAATTAATTTGGTTCAAATACATAATCTTCCTGAAAAACTCATCTTTTCTTTGATCAACTATACTCTGATGCTCAACTCACTGAAGATTTGTTCTTTCATATTGAAGAGCTCATAAATATGGGTAACAATATGGTTGAAGAAAAATTATTCTCTGGATTTATTGCAAATTCTGCTATTAAAAAAAGGCTTAATTATGTACATGCCCCCTGTGCTTTCCAACTTATCTCAGATTACCACCTGTGGTGGAAAACGTCTCAAAGTACCCCCCAACGTGCAAAAAACTGTCTCACGTTACCCTTTCCGTCAGTTTTTTTGAAGTTCCGTTACGAATGTTACTGTTCATCTCCCCCAAAATTCCAGAACAGCAGCTCCTCCCATTTGTTACTGTTCATCGCACCAGTTTTTGGGCTGCCATCGCCTCCTCCGGCCACCCCAAGCGACGACATGGATATCAAAAGAACCAGCACGTTGTCCTCTACCACCCTCACATCTCAGCCGCTGCCAACCGTCGTCTGGATCACCGAAAAAAGCAAGAAATTGGCCGGTTTTTACCCAAAATCTCCATTGCTCGTTCGGGCGATTCCGAGCACCATTTTCTTCGATCGGTGTGTTATGTTGAAGTGGGGGGGGGGGGGGGATGAAGAGAAAAAATAGAAGAAAAAAGGAAGTGGGGCCCAACGTTCGTAACGGAACGTCAAAAAAACTGACGAACCGGGTAATGTGAGATGGTTTTTAAAACGTTGGGGGGTACTTTAAGACGTTTGCAAACACATATGGTAATCTGAGATAAGTTGGAAAGCACAGGGGGCATGTACATAATTAAGCCTTAAAAATATATATATATATATATATATATATTGTAAATAAACAAAGGAACAAAGAATGAAGAAAAAAAAGAGGAAAAATTAGGGAAAGTTAGAAACGGTGTGTTGAGAGAGAGAGAGAGAGAAACAAAATCCAGTGTTGACGCTGCTTAGTGAACAATGTTGGATTACTTGGTTGTTTAAGATTTTTCCGAATGCATATAAATGTACAATATTTTACAGTAGAGACTCGATTTTGTTCATTAGAGGAAGAATAAAATTTTTACCCAAAAAAGATGGAAAATTGATGCCGTTAGTTAGCTGCGAGAGTGTTTTGCGAGAAAAATATACATGTGACATGACTTGCTTCTATTCATTAAATTTAATGAATGTTCAAGATTCTCTCAAATGCAGGTAAATGCAGTCCGTAAATGCAGAGGCCGTGATTCACTTAGTACACGGGTGTGTTGACTCGAATCAATGTTACCACTTCACAAAAATTGAAGTTTAACACTTCAAAGAAATTTCAGTAACCGAGCATCATGCACATAAGCTAGTGTCGGAAGCATGCTTCGAAGTAATGGGATATAAAACAACCGTCAAAAGAAGAAAAAAGACAATTATATCATACGATTTCTGTTTGATCCCAAAGAATAAGGCAACAATTAACATCAAGTTGAAATGCATACATTATGAGAAAAGATGTCTTATTTCTTTTGTACCTCCTTTAGGTCCCCTCCCTAGAGCTGACACACTATCACCAGATAATTTAACCTACGACTACAGATATGATCCCCTTCCCAAACTAATTCAAAATTGATGAATTCCATAATGCGCATCAAGGCCAAAAAGATGCACCAACAAAGAAGAATGTAAACTGACGGGGTCAGCACTATATGGATGAAACAAAGAACCACAAAAAAATTATCTCCGGCTTGTGGCCTTGCCCTTGCTTAGACTCGCAAGTTCCTCGATAAGCTTCTTCTCATCATTGCTCAATCTCTTTGGGATTTCAACCTGCACACGGACCAGCTGATCACCTCTCATGTTGCTCTTGTTTAAAAGAGGAACACCTTTCTTGGCCATCACAAGGGTCGTGTTTGGTTGGGTCCCAGCTGGAATCTTCAAATCAACCATGCCGTCAACTGTTGGAACCTTAATTGAAGTCCCCAAAATTGCATCAATATACGACACCTTGCAGGTGTACAAAATGTTGGTATCATCCCGTTTGAGGACAGGGTCTGGGATAACTTCTATAATAACAAATAGGTCACCAGGAGACCCGCCCCGCCTTCCAGCATTACCTTCATTTCGGACTCTTAAACGGCTTCCAGAGTCCACACCAGCTGGAACTTTAAGACTGATCCGCTTCGTCCTCCTCACACGACTATCCCCAGAGCAAGTGTTGCAGGGGATGGATGTTTCCCCAGACCCACCACATGAAGAGCATGTCATGACCTGCTGGAAGACACCTAAAGGAGTCCTCGCTGATTGAACAACCTGACCTTGCCCACCACATGTGCTGCATCTGGATGGCTTGGTGCCTGGTTTAGCACCTGAACCATTGCAAGTCCCGCAGCTCTCCAACCGGCTAATCTCAATCTCCTTTTCGACCCCAAAAACTGCTTCCTTGAAGTTCAAGACAAGATTATAATATTCGTCTTGTCCATCAACCGCTCGACTCCTAGAACCTCTTCCCCCCATTCCGCCCATCCCACCCATACCACCCATGCCCTCAAATAGTGACTCAAACAGATCAAACGGATTGCTGAAATCCTGAAATATTACAGTTCACCATCCCACTGTAAGAAAGTAAAGATACAATGAATAAAACTATCTTTACCCAATCAAGATTGGAGAGGTACTTACCCCACTACCCATACCAGCACCTTTAAGTCCAGCCTCTCCATATTTGTCATATAGTGATCGTTTTTCATCATCAGACAAGACCTACAAAGATTAAATAATTAAAATAACGACTACAACAGCCACCGGGTCAATGATGCATAATAAAACCATGCTTTTACCTCATATGCATTGCTAATTTCCTTGAATTTTGTTTCTGCCCCTGGTTCTCTGCAACATAGAAAAGAATAATTCCCACAAAATGAAAACAGACAGCATTTACCTAATAGATTGGTATAAACTAAAGCTAAGCTAGAAGGGAAATAAAGGAAAGACTCGAAAAAAACAATTCCACTCGCAAAACAGATATACACCGGTGATATATATCAAACTTCATAAGAGGAAAATTCTGACTTCAGCTACCCCACTAGAACAGTTTTACTTCTATCTCTTCAATAGTGACAAAAAGGGAAAAACTAATGTGCCAACTCCAATAACTTGTGGACAGGCTTGCACGTCTTGACATTAAGACAAGGTGGCCCAACACATCAACTTCCAAAAATCCAGACATGAGACATCCAAAACACATATATATACATAATTTGATAGTTCGATTAGTACCTATATTTGAGAGAATATTCGTTTGGAAAAGAAACATAGGTAGTGCTGAAAAAAAATTCCTCAAGAGGGACAGCTAGAAAGTTGGGCATTTTTTATAGGACAGAAAAGGTTTCACCATTTTGGCAAAAATATAATTTGAATATATGACCATCAAGAGCTAGAGAGGTTCAACTCAGCCTCAATGCTTCAATCAAGCTTTTGTGTCCTTTTCTAGTGTTCATCTTACCAAACCCCGCTTACGACACAGCCCATGAAAACTGACTAATCTAAACTCACCCAGTCACTTTAACCTGGGTGGTGAGATAAGGAACCAGATGCATTTTGATCAGATTCAGGTCTACCAATTTGAAACAGCCACATAGCCCCAAGAAATTAGCTACTGCAAGTGGATTTCTAGCAAGCTGCCCTTTTCAAATCCAGCTCATTTTTCCACTTTACATACATTCATCCAAACCCTAATTTGCTCTAGCAAAGCCTTTATGCATCTCCTTCAACAACCCTAAGATTTAAATCACAAGTTACTAAAATCCCAAAGCCAAGGTATGAACCTATATCCTACAAGCAGCTTTTTTCTCTTAAAGCTGTACCAATATTGACATGCTATTGACATGTTATAACGGATATGAATATAGCCAACAGTTTGGGAGAATATTCTTCATGGCCTTCGATTTGCACTTATTTCTGTTGGTATGCTACAGTTGTATATAATGAAAAATAAACTAACCATAAACCTTCAAACATACTACCATCAAATTCTATGGACCATGCTGATAGATCACTAACATAACAATCTGGCTCAACATTCAATCGCAACATAACACAGCTGAGATTAGTTTTTTCATAGGACAAAACACAACACACGTGTTCGCATGCATGTGCACATGCATACACGCAGGATAAAAGATAGAAAGTGAATTTAAGGGAAAAGAAACTGGTAGATACTATTATTCAAAATTAAGTTGGCAATACTGACTCACTTGTTTACATCTGGGTGAAAACTTCTTGCAAGCTTCCGGTAAGCTGAAATGTGAAAAGTATACAGAAGAGAAATTAGAGGATGATAAAATCTAGAAGGAAAAAAAAAAAAAAAAAAAAAAAAAAAAAAAAAAAAAAAAAAACAAAATCAAACCAAAAAAGCACAAACCATGATTAATTCAAGCCACACATCCTAATGTATTAAACCTTTCAAGAACACGAACATCACACTGGATGCTTTAAACATCCAAAAAGATAGAAGCTTAGTTTTATTTTCTGATCTGTACCAAACCAAAGCATTTCACATATTAGGTTTTGTATTTCTGTTATAGAAATTCATTCATAATGACAATATGAAATCCCACAAAAAACTTTAAAACACACGCCTTAGCTGGAAGATGGCATTGTTATTCTTAAAATGCGTAAGTACCAAATCTAGTGACATGAGTTGTTTTTCACCTTATCCCAAAATTCAGAGAGGGTGGAGATTGGAGAAAGTATATATTAGAATATATAGAGCAGAGTAATATATCATAGAAAAGCAAGTGGAAATATTCTGCCAAAGGTGCACAATCAAGTTACATCAGGTCAAATTATTCAGTTGAACCCCCTGCTATTTGAGGGGGCAAAACTTCCTATGACTTCAGGAAACTAATAGTCCAACTACCTCCAATAGCATCCTATCGGTTGTTTCTTCAGCCCCACAAGGGAAAAATCATGAGATTAGCTGCTAAAAGAGGTTGATGAAAGTAATGACGTGAGACTACTGAAATCACTAAGTTCATATCTATGAATGTATACATTCAAGAAGTGGCCCTGACTTTATCACAATACAATACAATCCTCACACAGTAGAGGGTTTCATATTATATTTCAAAATTTTCAGTCTCGGATGCCTGGATACCAAGGACAAGGAGTCTTGCTGAAATGGATGGACTGTATACTGTACACATGCAATGTACAGCAGAGAAATTTCCTTGAAGAAATTTTGCCCGTGTATCGGATGTGCAGAAAAAATGAAATAAACATGCAAGGCTAAGGGAGAATTAACAACTGAATATCATAATGGAAGCAGTTTTCTCTATAAACAGATCAAATCTCAAATCAACAAAAATGACTGGATATAAAATTATAGCAAAAATACAAATTAGCAAATAATAAGAAAGCATATAAAAGCAACAGAAACAATACACTGACAATAGTTTCAGGAAAATTAAAAAAACAAAACAAAAGAAGAAAGAAAATAGAAGTGTAGATACCGCTTTTGATTTCTGATTTACTCGCATTTCTTGAGACCCCAAGAACAGAATAAAAATCCTGGATGGGAGAATGAGTTTAGATCAATTGTGAAACGGTTAATGAGCACTCATTCAATTAAGCTTCTTTATTCAAGTAAGTAAAGGTAAGTAAAACCAATGTTTGTTATACTCACAGAATCTGCTCTAACTATGAATCTCGCTCCCCTACTGCGATGTGAAGTTTGAGATGGGCCTGCACAGAATAGAGCATTCAAGGAATCCCGAGAGAAGAAGCTTGAACTCGGTGCCCCCAAATGGCCTATTTTGCTTGTAACACTGCATTCAAGATGATCCTCAAACTAATACTATATAAAAATCTAAGAGATGTTGGTAGCATGTTAAGCAGATGTGCTTTAATTTAAAATTTGAAACCAAATAAACCAGAGGCACAGATATAGCATATATAGAGACAACGTCAACAGGTACTGGTGCTTTATTCTAATTCTAAATGATAGTCTAAACTGTTCACGATATAATAGGAATATAATCAGAACATTATAACTGGAGTGAATGTTGTTCATAAGGCTCTTAAATGTAAAAAAACAAAAACTTACCAGCATTGGGATGTGAGCATCTTATTCATGGCACAGGGCCTTAGCATAGTCTGAGGACGAATACCCCATTGAGCAACCCATGTACTTCCAGAAGGTATTATTGCCATTTAGTTAACTTTCTGTGAGCACTGAGCACAAACACACACACATATATCAGGGATATTCAAGTAGTTCAATCCAAACATAGTTGGGGCTAACACTGAAAAAATAGTTCAATAAACTACTATTTAGAGAAATTGTAAATAAATAAATAAATGAGAAACTGATTACACAGTGAATGGAGATAGAAGAACCGAAGGAGGACTAGTCAACCTACTCGAGGCCCAGATATCAAGAGCCTCTCTCTCGCTACATTCTTCCCTTCTTATCTCATCTTTGAAGTTTATTACAAGTATTTACTGCCTCATTTGTTATTATTATATTACTATTTTTAAAAGTTGGTCAAGCTATCCCTTCCTCTCATTGAGCTTTGTTATATTTTATTCACCGCGCTTCTTTTTGGGCCCACCTTGTAAAAATGGTTTACATTTGTTATATTTCCCTTTCCATGTTGTTTCTCATTGTGTCCAGTATCCGTTTTGATTGTATTCATGATCTCTTAGAACTATGAATTGTAATTCTTAAACTTACAACTTTAGAGTGGCACTGTTGCCACCCTCAAATCCTATATCCCCACCCTCCATATACTCAGCCCCGTTCAAATTTTAAAAAGGATACTAATCCATTCATCTCACCCCCCGTTAATCCTAAATTACCCCTGCTTCTTCTTATTCTTCCTTTTTCCCTAGCCCTAACCCCAATGCTCACTAAATAAGAAAGACAGTGGCCATGGGCACTGCCCGACCCCCATTAGCATTTTTTCATCCTCTATTGCACACTACTGGTGGTGGGCACATTACTTGGCGCTACCAGTCATGGGTGACAAACAACCATATTTCCTGGATACCGCACCTTGGAGTGATGAAAGAAATTAGAGAACCAATGCAAAATATTGAAGTTTACATAAATTATATGAAGTAATTCTTGAACAGCTATATTAGAATAGCAATATTGAAAATTCAATTATTAGAACAGTACATTTGATGGCATAATGTGGCAAAACTCTTCTGGCACAAAGGTGTTTTGGAAATTAATGAAATGGTCATGCCATGGTGGATACCCGCGCCCGAGACATGGGGTTTCCCTGGAAACAGGGGCCACTCCTTCAATGTTTTATTTTCAAAAAGTCAGGCTTTTTAATGAATTATTGTTTTAGTTAATTTCAAATAGAGATAAAACTGTAATTTTTTTATTTTTGTAAAAACTGGGCCATAGCGCATGCAAATATGGTTTGGGATGGCTATAGCACCACTCCAAATTCATTCTAAGATAGACTACTTGTTACCCTACTCTATATCTTAAACTTCGTACATATTATCTTTAATCAGCCAAATTGAGTTACTCCATCAATTCCTCCAAAGATGTTCTTTTACCTTCTTCGTGAATCTCTTCACATTTTATCTCTGACGCATAGCATAAAACTCCATATCATCACTGGGTTTAATTAACTTATGAAAATGATCTCAAACCAACCCCTTTTGTATCTTACGAAGAAATGTTTGTTTTCGTTTTCTTGAGATTGGTGGCAGCAGTAGATAAGAATGCATTCACTTTAAAGGCCTCAAGGGCTACACTAATACAACTAAACATTACACACACCAGAAATGAAAGATTTAAGGAAATGAACAACCAAAACAGTAAAGAAAATGATAATATAATATACATGTGGGATGCAACGGATGCAAATATAGTTTCAAATAAATCATTTGAAAGTAAACATAGAAATATTTATATATAGGCTTTCTATAGTAAGAATGTCCCTATTCTCCTATTTATGGGTTGTAAACCAATGATCGGAACCATTCAGTTTTTAGGTTCTCTTTCAACGATTATCCATGCAAAAAAAAAAACAGCTAAATCAGAAACTGTTTAGACATTTAATTATCCACATTTACAATTCAAAGTCATCTAACAAACGGCGTTTTTCTGCACATTTTTTAAGACTAAAAAACTTTCAATCTGGATGATTTTTTGAAGGGTAACCTTAAGATAACCTAAAATATAGACGGTTCGGATTGTTGAAATAAATTGTTGGGTAGCGTTGCCCTAGGAAGGATGTGTGCACTTTTCTTACATTAAGGACATCCTTAACCTACAAAAACACATATACACCCACATACATACATATATATATATATATATCAAAGAGAGAAGCTAAAAGAAGCTTGAAGATAGAAGAAAATGGCATCAAACTCAAGCATCTCAATTAGTAGGTGAAAACAAAGAGTCTTTGATGGCATGTTACATTTCCAATGATAAATTAACACAGACAAGGTGAACTGAAACCAAAGGACGGAAAGGACCAAAAGTAAAATTACCTGATATGCGATACGAACCGCGAACCCAGTGCTCGAAGAACCCTAGCAACGGAACAGCAAAGCTAAAGTACGAGAAATTAAGAAAATTTTAAATAAAATTAGGAAAATGAATTTGTGAAACCCTAACGAAGGAGAGAGAGGGATTACAGTGAGAAAATTTTGGTGGAGCTGAGCAGAGCAGAGCAGCGCAGCGATGGATGGCGCTGTGGGCGCACAAGCAGAGAGCTGTGGATGGCGCGGAAGTGAGGGCTCCAAGTGAAGAGAGAGTTTCAACAGGGAATGGATGAGATTGCGTGGCTACGACCACTGAAGTACTAAACGGTGCGTCCTGGCTTGGTTTCCAAACAAATCAAAACGACGTCTCTAGATCCTTCACCATTTCAATAAGACTCGTTTTTGAGGTCCAATTTTTTAAAAATAAAGTGGTTTTAAAAACTAATTAGTAGTGTTAACTCGATGATTCTTTTTTTAATCAAAATCAACTCTGTTATTCTGAAGAAAAAAAATAACTTATTATAAAAATTAGTTAATTATTATTTGATGTACTGACATTATTTTCACATTTTCAAAAGGACATGAGTTCAAATCTCGTGAATAACAGTAAATTTATAAAATAAGAAAAAACTAATATTAATGATATTAACTTTTTTCAATCAAAATTATTAATGTATTCTTGTAATTTATGAGTTTATTATGTTATCGCTCATCTTAATAAAAAAATATCTTTTAAATAAAATTGTCATCTTCGATGCTCCAGAAATTTCTTAGTGTCAAATTTAGTATCAAAAGCTATACCAAATTGGAAAATGAAAATGAGATTTGGTCTTTGTGGTTTGAAGTGGGACCCACCAAATTTCTTCTTATTCCTCCCAAATATAAACAAAATATATATATATATATATATTCTCCCCATTAAATCAACGTTGAAAATAATCTCTCCAATCAGTAGATGACGTGGAATACTTAATGTTTTAAGACATTACAATTTTGAGTGATTTTATTTTAATTCTAAATTCCCTCCCAATCCCCAAGAAGAATTCTCTCAAAGCCCATTGGGTACAAATTGGGCTTTGTTGAATTCTCTCAAAGCCCATTGGGCTATTGCTTTGAAAATATCTCATATTTGTTCACCCCGCCAGGTCCCCCTTCGGCCTTTATCTTCAGAAAGTGCACAAAAAGATCCAAGCACCAGCCACATCAGTGGCCCCCTTCAAGTTGAAAGTCAAAAAAGGCCATAAAAAGTACACTTGTAAACAATAAAAAATACGAAAAATAGACCAGTCATTCCTTCCACGTCCTCCCACGTGTCCGATCTTATCCACTTCCCTCACCTAGCTCCCATCACCTACAACCCCATTTCATATCTACCCATCCAATCCCCTTATTTTGTTGTACTTTATTTCCCATTATACCCATATTTACTGGAAACAAGGACAAAAATATCTTCGAGTACAAACACTCAATGCAATAGCTTCACCTAGATATGGAAGTCCAGGCCGTAGAGGATGAAATCACTCATCTCTGTCAAACGTTCAAAACCATCAAAACCCAAAAAGCCACTGCACCTCTCTCTCCCACAGTTTCTATATTTCCATCATCTCTGAAACACTTCTCTGTCTTCCTCCTTCTGCATACACTGCATTGTGAATCTGTGATCTACCATCGCCATGGCAACTCCTCTCACGTCTTTCAGACCCGTTTCGATCCGTCCCAACGCCTCCGGATCCCAGCGACCCGACCCGAATCGCCTCAAGCCCTCTTCCTCCAGCTGGTGGACCCCGCTCTTCGGCTGGTCGTCCGACCCGGCAGAATACATCACCGCTGATCTGGGTGTAAACTCCGGCAACAATGATCCGGTTTCTGGGAGTGACCCGGCCCGACCCGGGTCCAGATTCTC